TGTGTGGTGCTGAAGTAGGATAACATGTGGTTATCAGATTAACAACACTGATCAGCTGATGTAGGTGCAGAGTCTGATAACAACATTACATCACTACACTGTGTATACGGTGATTGTGTGGTGCTGAAGTAGGATAACATGTGGTTATCAGATTAACAACACTGATCAGCTGATGTAGGTGCAGAGTCTGATAACAACATTACATCACTACACTGTGTATACGGTGATTGTGTCGAGCTGAAGTAGGATAACATGTGGTTATCAGATTAACAACACTGATCAGCTGATGTAGGTGCAGAGTCTGATAACAACATTACATCACTACACTGTGTATACAGTGATTGTGTGGTGCTGAAGTAGGATAACATATGGTTATCAGATTAACAACACTGATCAGCTGATGTAGGTGCAGAGTCTGATAACAACATTACATCACTACACTGTGTATACGGTGATTGTGTGGTGCTGAAGTAGGATAACATATGGTTATCAGATTAACAACACTGATCAGCTGATGTAGGTGCAGAGTCTGATAACAACATTACATCACTACACTGTGTATACGGTGATTGTGTGGTGCTGAAGTAGGATAACATGTGGTTATCAGATTAACAACACTGATCAGCTGATGTAGGTACAGAGTCTGATAACAACATTACATCACTACACTGTGTATACAGTGATTGTGTGGTGCTGGAGTAGGATAACATGTGGTTATCAGATTAACAACACTGATCAGATGATGTAGGTGCAGAGTCTGATAACAACATTACATCACTACACTGTGTATACGGTGATTGTGTGGTGCTGGAGTAGGATAACATGTGGTTATCAGATTAACAACACTGATCAGCTGATGTAGGTGCAGAGTCTGATAACAACATTACATCACTACACTGTGTATACAGTGATTGTGTGGTGCTGGAGTAGGATAACATGTGGTTATCAGATTAACAACACTGATCAGCTGATGTAGGTGCAGAGTCTGATAACAACATTACATCACTACACTGTGTATACGGTGATTGTGTGGTGCTGAAGTAGGATAACATGTGGTTATCAGATTAACAACACTGATCAGCTGATGTAGGTGCAGAGTCTGATAACAACATTACATCACTACACTGTGTATACGGTGATTGTGTCGAGCTGAAGTAGGATAACATGTGGTTATCAGATCAACAACACTGATCAGCTGATGTAGGTGCAGAGTCTGATAACAACATTACATCACTACACTGTGTATACGGTGATTGTGTGGAGCTGAAGTAGGATAACACGTGGTTATCAGATTAACAACACTGATCAGCTGATGTAGGTGCAGAGTCTGATAACAACATTACATCACTACACTGTGTATACGGTGATTGTGTGGAGCTGAAGTAGGATAACATGTGGTTATCAGATTAACAAAACTGATCAGCTTATATAGATAACTGCTGAAAGCGTGATAACAACATAACAGCAAAATATTACAGTAGTGATTTAGTTTATGATTTCACCTAAATACATATGACAAGTTTTTCATCACCATCTTCATTTATTTCTTAACCTGAAAATTGAGACTATTATTATGTCACAATTAATTATTCTATTTTAAATATATTTTGCTTTAAACAGAGTTACTTTTAAGTGGAAAAACATATTTCCTAGGTTGGCTTAGGTAGTTTTATGCTACGATATTTATATTTTGATAATTTACCCAGCTTAAACATTTTTGGTACTGATTTTTGTAATTTTATTCTTGGTTATTTACTGATTTATAGGGTCATCATTTTTCCTTTTTACAAATAACATTTTATTTGTTTTTGTTATTATTTGTTTTTTGTGAAGGAATTTTTTATGAACCTTGTTTATTCAAAGACTTCAGTTTACGGATACCAAGTTTTACCTGAATTTACTCAAAGACACTGTTTTAGAACAGTGATGTTTAAAATCTCAATCATCATTACATAGAGAATGTATAAATTACTAAATCAATTGTTGAATGCTCTAGCTAGCAAAATTACATCAATTGTACCTAATATTTTCGTAACCTAATAAAGTGTATGATAAGTATTCTTATTTATCTGCTCGAGATAGATCGTTTCCCGCCAAAGGGAAATATATGCTTCACTTCACTTGCTCGACAGAGATATATGCCTCCAGTCGCCAACTCTGCATCTAATACAACTTTACCTTTATAAATATTAAACCTTATCACTCTGAGAAGCTTTCCTACGAATAATACGTCAAAACTAGTTCGTTTCTTCTAGCTATGATCTAAAAACACGTATTGCGAAATAATTAGATTTGGTTTAAGTTATACTTTTTTAGATACAAACATTGCCTCTGTAACAGAGTCAATTGTTACTCATTATAGGGTAATGTTAATAGGGACTACACACAGAAAAAAACTTACCATCCAATGTAAAATTTTGAGTTCCAACGTCATATAATCTGTGGAGATGGTCTACCACCTGTGTCAAGTAATAAATCAGCTGTTGGAATGGGTTTTAATTAAATATTCAACCCGATACACTTGTATCCTCTGGTAAGATGGCATTGAACTTTATATTTTTACTCAGCTTAAAGTTTTTACATTGAATGGAAAATCTTCTATGTGTATAGTCAATAATACAAAGTTGTTTAAACTGTTTAAAGTTTATTTTTTTATATTTGTCTTTTTGCTTATTAACTGCTCATCTATATATATAAAAGGCAAAGCCCTCACTGACTCACTCACTCATTCATCACTAATTCTCCCACTTCCCATTTAACTACGCTGAAATTTGGTACACTGATTCTTTAGCCATTAAATAGGAAAACTAAGTTGTTTTTATTCTGATCGGACTCTCGGGCTCCGCCCCAGTGGCTCTGGAGTTTCCCATGTTAACCTTATGAGTACTAATATTTAATTGGAATTAATTAATCTTAACGGCTGTTTCAATTAAACAAATTGGTTCTGTTCTATGATGTTCAATAGCATTAAAGTTACAAGGATTACCAACAGGGTGCAGCACTATAATTTTTTTAAATTTATGACACAGCTAATTTGCAACCAAAAGGTGAGTGAGCGTAGCGAACGAACTTCAACCTTGAGGCGAGTTAGCGTAGCGAACGAGCTAATCTGAAGGCAAGTGAGCGCAGCGAACGAGCTCTAACCTAAAGGTGAGTGAGCGTAGCGAACGAACTTCAACCAGGACGTGATTGATCCATGCGAACGAGCTGTTTATTCCATTGTCTGTGGTAAAACGGGGCAAAGCCCGCGGGTACAGCTAGTAAATCATAAAGCAAACCTACTATTTATCTATATATTTATATATCTATATATCTATATTTATCTATAAGCACTCTAAGTATATTCAATAATAGCCATATCTGTCATCACTCAACGACGACACTACAGAAATACATGTTGTAAATGCAACACATATTTTGTAATACCCTATTGTATAACATATATAAGTATGTAATTTTGTAAAGCGATGTTAAATGTTTAGGTCAATTGTAAAACTCAGGGATAGGTAAATTTGTAACAGCCTATGTAGGATCATTGTCTAAAGACTGGTTAGTCAAAAAAAATATAAAACACTAATTTAATGTAGGTTTGGATTACGAATAACGTGCAAAAATTTTAACGCGTTATTTCAGTGTATTTTGTACGTTAGTTTCCCTAGTAGTGAGAAATCCAACCATTAAAAATTCGCCCGCGGTGTTGGAGTTCATCTGATTAGTTCTCATCGGAAATGCATATTCCCGATTGTATTATCCAAGCAAAACAAATTCGAACTTTGCGCTTCGGCGTACCTGGAAATTGCCTAATTTGCTTTGGTTGGCGTGAAACAAATATTTACGACGAAATTAATATTTTCACCGTAAAATCTAGAGGTTAAAAATACTTAATTTAACACTGTAAACAAACTTAATTAGTCTAGTAGCTGATTAAAAATGGAAGCATAAATAAAAGAAGAATGATTTCTTGCTCAAATCTAAAAGGCTGTGATGATTTTTGGATTAGGCAGTGATGAAATCCACCAATCTAAGACATTTTTTTATATATTGTTTTTCTTTTAGACGTTTTGTGTATCTACGTTTTGTGGACTTTAAAAATCGGAAAATATTCAAAGTCTTTGTACATGCACTACGTAATCAAGGAGTGAGCTGTACTGGTGGTAGAACGCTCGGTTTTGGTGCCCGAGGTCCCGGGTTCAAATCCCTCCAATCTCCATTGGGTTAATGCTATAACCCTCTAGGACTAGCTTGAAGTCATGAGTAAAGCAGTTCCGGACTAGTAGAGTCCTAGGATGAGAAGATGGGACATAGAAAAGTGCTGACAGTACTTAATTGGTGAGTGAGCTGGTCTAGTGGGAACACATGGGGCTACGGTCCTTAAGGTCCCTGGTTCAATCCTTACCAATCACAAATTGCTTTTAAGTATGTGACAAAGCCATGGATTCTCGTAGACTAGCCTAAAAAAGTGCAAATTATTTTGAGCTAGAGTCTAGTGTTTTAGAATAATAGGTCAGGACTACTAAAATGTTTCGAGCTAGAGACTAGTATCCTAGAATAAGAGGTAAGGACATAAAAAATAATTAAAATAAACGTTATAGTAGCCTAAACTGAAGAATCGTGCTCAAGAAAATAAACGCCAATGGTATTGTGTTTCCATTTTACGGAACTCCGGACAGAAATGTTCCCTTAAATAAGAGCAGCCTTAGTTTCAAATCACATAGGGCTCACGCTATCCGGATAGTCTATTGTAATGCTACCTTAGAAGCCATGTTCGTACCCACCAATACTTGAAATGTTTCCCGTCACGCACATGTTAGCCACGTGTTTTATATCTAGATTGATTCAGAACGTTTGTAGGTAGTGGTAGTTTGGTTGTATTATTTTTTTAACGACAGGACCTGTGTGCCAATCGTACAGAACTGTTCAACATTTAGGTTAAACACTATCACTTGTTCAAAAATTAACAAAAAACTTTACTGATGATTAAATTCATAATTTTGTTTCAGATTTCAAATGAAGAGCTAAGCAGATAACAGACGGTAAGTTAATATTTTCTGTGGGGTTTTTTCTGAACCTAAACTTTATTTATTTTAACAAAATAGGTAACTTTAAGATTGTTTTTGGTCCATTATGAAGTAAGTGGAACTTGGTGATATTAAACATTGATTTCAGTTACATCATTGAGTAAGTAGTTTTGATTTTCTACTACTTTATTTCAAAACACTAATGAAAAGGCTTAATTTTGTTTATCATTGATGACATTATATGATTATTTATTCATTTATAGAGCTGCGTATAACATTGTATTGTGATTAACAGTTTTCTAAGTGGTAGTGAATCTATTTTTTTGGTTTTAGATCAACTCCAGGAAAATAAAGTTATACATATTATATTATTTATTAGAAAATACTTTTTAACATTATTAAAAAAATATATATAGTTTTTGGGATTTATTTATCATTATTAATATTGTTAATATTAGAAATTTAAATCATCACTAAAATACTTAATGTCGAAGTAAGTAGTACATTTTGTTTATTTAGCTTTGTATTTTGCTTAGGTTAAATTTTGCTGTTTAAAATGGTTGAATCAATTTAATTTGTTCAAAATAACTAAACTTAAATTAAAAGCATTTAATAATTTGATCACTGCATTTTATAACTACTGCAAATTTATCCAAGCAACTGTTCTTTGACTGTATTTTATAGTCGTGAACCTCTTGGAACAAAGCAAACTCAATATGTAAACTTTGCACTTAGACGACCAAAATTTGTGACAAGTTGATTTACAGCCTCTTCCAACCCCCCCCCCCCACCACTTTTTCAGTTGGGGAATTGTGTTTTTACAAACCAATTTATTCAATTCTAAAAGTAATTTTTGAAAAGTGTCAAATACACTCTACTAGCTTTTAGAAGTAAAGCACGACACTGTTGAAAAACTTAATTTATTTATTCCTCCAAACAATTTTAAATCAAAATTCCCCGCAATTGCGAACCTGCCGATCAAGCAAATTCCAATTAATAGGCTAAATCTTTGCTAAAATATTTCCTCAAAATTCTCAGATATATTTCTATTTAAATTATAATTTTATTGAGTATGTATGTTTGCCACTACAGTGTATTTATACACACACATATATGTATTTATGTACACATATATGTATTTATATACTACAGTGTAGTAGTATTTATTGAAAATCAATAGCAAATTTCTTTTTCAAAATTTCGGTTTCTTAAAACAAGCAGAGTACAAAAATTTATTTATTCTACTTAAGAACAACATGGGAATATTATAACCTTACAGTTGTTTGTCAAATCCTCCACAACCATTAGACGTACAGAAACTCAATATTACCCAGTTTTGTTTGTCTTTTGAGCTCAAAAAACAGTTTATAAAGAAAATGAAAATGCTTTCAATAAATATTTATAAAGGCTTATATTTAATCAAGAACCTTTGGGCAAGTCTGTAACTTAAAAATTAAATGTTTTGAACCGTTCTATGAAACATTTACAAACAAAACGTTTTCATATATTTCTCATATTGTACTTATGACAACATATTATACGAACGACAAATTGTGGAGAAATGTTGTATTTGTGAAGTCTTGCTGCATAGAAGATATTTCTCAAGAATATTTGCAGTGAGATTAAAACTCCTCTTTTGATACAACAAGCATACGACTGCATTTTTCATAGATGTTAGGTATAAGTATTTTTTTCTGATTATATACCTTACAATATGGAAAAACTTAGTTATTTTAATATTTTTTTCTTTTAATTAAAAACATATTAATTTTTAAACTATGTAAAAAGCTTGTGAATGTAAAAATGAAAATGTATTATACTAAATTAAAAATTTCCTAAAATATTATTACTGGCTTCATACATAAATATATTTGCAGTTGCGATGATTTTTAATATCCTTGTATTACTCTTTGATCAGCTGTTCTGGTTACCAGGCAAATTAAATTTGTTTATTTTTGTGTTACTCTTTAATGTTTGTTATACTCAAATAAAGCCTCATAGTTTGTATAAGATTTATTTATCACTAGCTGTACCCGCGGGCTTTGCCCTGTTTAACTTCATATTCGTATTTGCATGCCTCAATCACGTCCTGGTTGAACGTGATTGAGAGCACTAAATGTCACGTGATATTTCCTGGTTGAAGTTCGTTCGCTACGCTCACTCACCTTTAGGTTGGAGCTCGTTCGCTGCGCTCACTTGCCTTCAGGTTGAAGTTCGTTCTCTACGCTCACTCAACTATTGTTTGCAAATTAGCTGTTGTTATAAATTAAAAAAAAATATATAGTGCTGCACCCTGTTGGTAATCCTTGTAACTTTAAAGCTATTGAACATCATAGAACAGAACCAATTTGTTTAATTGAAACAGCTATTAAGATTCATTAATTCCTTTTAAATATGAAAAATCATAAGGTTAACATAGGAAACTCTAGAGCCACTGGGGCGGAGCCCGAGAGTCCGATCAGAATCAAAACTACGTAGTTTTCCTATTTAATGCCTATAGAATCAGTGTACCGAATTTCAGCCTCCTAGGTAAATGCGAAGTGGGAGAATTAGTGATGAGTGAGTGAGTGAGTGAGTGAGTCGGTGGGGGATTTGCCTTTTATATATATACATTTCAACAGCAGTGTTTATACAAATGATTAAATTAACTCATTAGTCATTGGAGATAACAAACATTGAGTAATAAGTATACGTGAAAATATTTCTCAAATATCGCTATCACTGTCTATCGACTCTAAATTGCTCCAAGCCCTGGAAACGGTACATTAATGGTACCTTCAGTGTTACCAAAAACCCCATAAAATAGCCTCGAACCGTTACAATTCAATTATCGTAAGTTATCGACGCTATAGTCTGCACCATTCTACGCTGAACACCTGCGCGCTGTAACGTGGTAACCAACTACTGCAATGAAACGAAGCTGAGACTATTACAGAGTTTCTATGACGCCGTGTAAGAATTTATGAAACTTGTAACATAAGATAAATTTGAATTTTGCTTATCAACCACAAATATGATAGAAAAAACACATACCGTCTGTAAAACCTCAATACTTATATTTGTTTATTGAACAATATTTGGCAGACACAGAACAATGTTCCTACAGTACTAGGTATCTTAGCTAAATTTGTAATAGCTGCAAATTAATGTACATACATAAGTAACTTATTGGTGCTGACGGTTAGTTATACACGAATATACTGTTAAAACAGATTAAATAAATACCTAAAACCCAAATTACCTAAATAACTTTGACTATTGAATTTATGCAAACAAATAAAAATTCATCAAAACAATATATATGAACTAAACAAAAATGTTGCTACATTTCATCTTTAACAATATTTCACCAAACGTATTTTTAATTTTCCTTTACAAGATTAAATGAACTCAATTCTACACTTTGAGTGCAGATTCAATTTAGTTTAGTGTTAACTTGCACTTGAAACCGTTATCCAGTGTTTGATTTGTTTTGGAGTAGCTGTTCTGGTGGTATAATGCAGAAATTCGTTCCGTGAGATCCTGGGTTCAAATCTCACCAATCACGAATGGATTTTGTCTCAGGTGTAATGTCACGACCTCCACTAGACCAAGCCTGGAAAAATGTAAGAAACAATTACGGACTTGAGCTCAGTGTCAAGAATAGAAAAAGTGTTTGATATGATAGAGTTGAGTTTGGTTGCATTAAACGTAGCCTAATTTAACATTTTTATTACTAATACAACAAATAGTAAAACAATTTTGGGAAATCTCAAATAATGGCTTTTTATATTTATGTATTTTTTTATACTTCAGGTTATATATTGTTTATATATATATCAGGTTATATCAGGTTTATATCAGGTTATATATATATATATATATATATTGTAGCTTTAAGTCGTTGCAGAAATTGTACACTACAAGGCTGCACCCTTTATTGGACCAGTAAGATTTACTAGGAAGTGGTACATTAATTTTTTTTTAAGTAACCAGCTGAATTTACTTGTTAATTTTACATTTTGTAGACTCCTCTTTTAAAGTTACATCATGGATAAACTATAGGTTAAAAATATCATTTATAGCAAGAATGGAATAAATCATTTTAAATTGTATAGAAAAGTACAAAACAAAGTTTAAATATTTTTTTCATTTCACAACTTTAATTAAAGTTTAGAATTAATATGCTAAATTAATGTAACTAAAAGAAGATTAAAGAACCTTTTTGCCCTGTTTTCATGTGACCATTTATTTTTCCTAACGATGCTTAAATTTATTATTTTAAATGTAGAATAGTGTTATACATATAATAAGCAGTGTGTAATGGATAAAGGTATGAAGAGAATCCCCAACAAGAGTGTAATTAAATTTTTTGTTATTGATTTTAATAACAAAAGAAAAGTAGCACACACACAATTGTGTGTATCACATTTTACACAAAATGACTGAAAACTAGTTAAGTAAATACAATCTTTTCATTTGGCCAGTTGAATCATTCCTGGTAATTCTTATATTTTCTCCCTATTTTGACCCACACAACTATGTTTCGGAGCTTGGCAGTTCATTTACGGGTCACCCTGTATATTTTATGTTAAAACATACCAATTACGTGGCAAAAGTTCAATTATTTCATACAAACTGATAATGAGAGCAAAACATTGCGTAATAATTATTTATAAAAACCCTGCTTTATTATTTTCGGATACAAAATTGTAATCTTTTTAAACAAAATGGCGTATTCGCTTACTAGCAACTATCAGTGGACGAAATGCAATGCCTTCACCTTTCGAGCTGCATCAAATACGCATGCCAGTACAACGGTAGACACTAAACTTGAAGGAGCAATTCTCTTTAGCCTGTGAACAACCTTTTATGGGTAAGCATTGAGAGCAACTATGATATTTTATAGAGGAATGTCAAACGTTGCAATAAATTTTGAACCCTAATTCTTTCAGAAATGAGGTGTTGCACTATTTTTTTACTATAAGGACCATAACGCATTAATTTTAATCAAACCTGGCTTTTTTCTTAAATCCGATTTTTCGTAATTTTTTAGTTTTAAAATGAGTTACAATTACTAAAATCTTATTTATTTCAGGAATACTGTAGAATGTGTACCATTTTGTTCAGAATTTAAAGGACTAACATAATAGTTTTCTTTTTCCAAAATCGTTCGTTTCTTTTCCGAAAAAGTCAGATTTTTACGTTATTTTTTATTTTGGGTGCCTACATACCAAATTTCATCAAAATTGGACTACAGGTGTGGTCTGTAGCTCTGTACACATCCACACATACAAACACACACACAAACACAGACATCACTTCGAAAACCACTTTTTATTTGGTTCAGGGGGGCCCGAAACGGATATCTTCACTCAAAACTCAAACTCGAAAATTTTGACGAAAACAATACTTTCTCCATATACCATGGTATAGGGGGAGAAAGTAAAAGTAGACATAAAGGACTTGTCTATTAATCATCACATCACAATACTTTTTTGTATAGGGAATATATCATTACTCATAAGTTATATCAACTTATTTTACCTTAATGTACTTATTTTGGTTTTTAATTGTTTGTTAGATATTAGATGACGAAAGCTGTAAGAGAAAAACAGTTTTATAAAATTGACTTAACGCTTGAACCAATAAAGACAATTTTATTTAATTATTTATTTATTTATTTTATCAAACCATTTATACAAAGAATAGACAGTTTGGGACTACAATTTCGAAGGGTTCTTGAAAACTAAGGAATCTATGGCTGTATTCTAAGATTCGAGCTGACCAGTTTTAATCAAACATAAAATCCCTTCTTGAAATTGAACATGCATTGTTAGTTGGGTTATTATCACATATCTATATGAGTACCATTTGCACACAAAGATTTCAAAAACGGCTCCTATGATTTCCTCCAAATTGTTAGAAAAATCTTATTTTAGGCTAAAAACCATATCCATGCTTTGCTCTGTTAAGGGAAAATTCGTTTACCGTAAATACCTAAAATTAAATGTTAATATTTTTAACATTATTCTTATAAACTGTCAAGTAGCTATGGCAGTTTTACGAAAATGTAAATAAATGCATTGTAACATAATTATGCTTGTAACAAAACATCTACAGTACAATAGCAAAACACTAAATACAGTTCAAAAGAAAAGGACATTCCTATGGATGCTATTGAGCATTGATTATACAATACACTTGGGGTGTCTCATTATTACCGCAAAGTATTATACACCAATATTGAACTAAAAGTTTCGAGGAAGAGCCAAGAACGTTTTGTAGTTATTCACGATGAACCGGACCACATGAATGGGCGCGTTCTTCCACGATCCCATTATTAGTTGCGACGTTCCGCAATCCCAGTTACTAACACATCACTCATACTTTTTTATGAAGCTTATTGTAGAAATATTCAATATTATAGATTGGTCGTGCATAAGAACAAGGGAATGTATATCTAAGACAAATTGACTTTAGAACTAAATTAATGGCAGGAAAACTGAATACCCCCGTCGCAGCAAACCTGCATACTAAGCGAATTTCCATTTACCCGGCTTGATTTCTACTAAAATATTCCCTATAAATTTTCAGATTTATTTCCTATTTAAATAACATTAATTTTAGTGAGTAGTTAGGTTTGCTGCTACGGGGAAGATGTTGAGATGTGTTTTTTTCAATTGAAATATTGATAGCTTAGTATGAAATAAACCAAATTGCCAAATTTGATTAAAATATATCCATAAACAAGCAAACTAGTACAGTTTATTTATTCTCCATAAGAATAACATGGGAATTTTAAATTTACAATTTTTTAAATTTTCTCCTTAGTCAATGAACATTCAAAAAGACTTCAATATACTAAATTATTTGTTTTTTTAAGCTCTTCATAATGGTCTAGAAAGAAATTTAGAAATTTTAAGTGTTTAGGGTCTAAAATGAGAAAAACCCATTTTTACCCCATTAAACCCCCCATAAACCCCTAATCCCATGGTCCGAATATGCTGGTTCGCGAACTCGTTCGAATAAATGTAGGTTTACACGTTTGTACCAAATTTCATCAAAATCGGATCAATTTTGCTCGAGTTATCGCGCTAACGGACACTTATATATGTGAATTTGAACGGATGGTGTTTTTGGCCTCTGGGGACCTCAAAACGAAAAAGTAAATCGGTCCCGGGTCTAGGTCTTACCATGAGACCTACGGTAATAGCTTATTCCCTATATGGGAAATTCGCTAAAATGAAGATGATTTACGGGTAAAACTAATAAGTTATATGTTTTGAAAGGTTAACTAGAGTTCCAAATCAATATTTGTTGCGAAAAATATTTGTTTGATTTAAGTAAGACTTATTCTAAATGTTGTTTACTACATAAACTAATCTCTTGACGTTCAAGTCACATAAGGCTATGATATTTTTGTCTTGCAAACCTCTAAAATTTAGCCCATGAATGTATATATCCTGAATCCATGTCTTATTCTTAGTGTTTATGTGCAGTTTTTAAAACTTTTTCTTGTTTATGTTTACACTAAATTTTAATACATTTCTAAGAGTAGATTTATTAGTGGAATTCATTGGTTTCAATAATATTTTTTGCAAGTAAGCATCGATCATCTACAGGTAAAGTGTAAGAAAGAGCCATGTGGCCCAAACTTTTGCCTGTCTAAATAAAAAATATAATTTTATAAAATTGTGTTGTTTTCAATCACTTGAGACGACAAGATTGTTAACAAAATGTTGACTATATTTGACACTATCATGGAAATTGTACATTTGTAGTCAAAATGTATTTTATTTCTTAACCTCATGGACAAAATGAAACAAATTTTGAAAAATTTTACTTTTTATGTTGAGAATTTTGAATTTCATTGCTGGGCAAATCCTCGACAGAAACTTCAGCCAGTTCTAAGAGGTCAATGTTCAATGCCTCTTTGGTTTATTTTAATTGAAGGAACAATTTTTGACCAAAATTTGATATTATTTCTGTTGCTATAGTCTCAAATTGTAAGCTATATAATATTAACAAAGTTGAAATGTACGTGAGAGAATGAGATTCTAGTGATAAAAGTTGGTAGTTGATGGTTCATGACGCAAATCAACATATGGCGAAAAGTGTTTCACAAGGAAATGTGGTAGAAAATTACGAACATTATCATTAATATTTGGCTGTGTGACATTAGCATCGGCGTTTTAGTAGACCTTACTTCTGTTTGAAATCAGCGCACGAAAATGCTCTTCTTACTAATATTCTGCGTAAGTTAAAGTTTTGTATTAATTTTATTCATATATAGTTATTTTTATTTATTGGGTAATAATAAGTGTTTGTTTAACTGATGGTATTAGTTTTAACAGCATTTGACATAAAATATTAGTTAGTTAATTGCATAAAAACATAGTAAATATGGTATGGGTGAAAAACCAAGTTGATCAAACAATAATTGAAATATTTTGATGATTTTTTTGTTAAAACAGCTTACACATAATTGTACATGTTATATTTCCATAAAGTTTATTTAATTATTAGGTATGCTGGTTTTTTAAAAGATGAATGTTATATATTAGATCTAACCATATCGTAAGGTACAAAAATTTATATTCCAGATATAATTTTCAAACTCCAAAATAAATCAAATTGTTATGTGTTGTAATGGGTTATATTTTGCAAATCTTTACAAACAAAAAATAGAACAAATTAATATTCATAACTCATATGTTTATAATGTTTTTTACAGACGTTCGCATTTTCTGATGCTTACGGTAAGTAATCATATTCTTGCAAAAATAAACAATCAATCTTATGAGTAATTGGTTACAGCATTGACAAAGGTTTTCTATGGTATTAGACAGTAGGGGAAATAAATAAATAAAAAATATTTTATTTTTACCCTCTGAAACTTATAAAATGGTTATAAAATACCTTTTGCTATCGTCAATTAACTATAGGTGTTTGGAAACTCTCTCCCGAAACTCGTTGGTCATATTCTTTAGGTCAAAACAAACAAAAAATATCATGTTAACATATGCCCTATCTCGCTTCGTTTTCCGTCTGTTGGTGTGTACGTATTTTTTAAATAACTTCCCATAACTTTGGAACCACTAGAGGTACCAACTTCAAACTTGGTACTTATATGATTACCAAAAGTAACTATATTTTTGAGAAGGATCAAGTTTCTACTTAGTACAATTTTAAAATGGTGGCCATTTTTATTTTTTAAAGCTTAATAACTAAAAAACCATAGAATTTATAAAAGATCACAAAGGACAAAAAGGATGAAAATTTAATTAACTTTACATAAATGTACAGTTTTTACAGGGGAATAACACAAATAACGGAGAAATTTTAATTGATATAAAGATAATACCTAATAATTTATTGAATTTGCCCAAATATTTTATTTTAACTATAGAAAATTTTATTTTTCTCTGTTATTTGTGTTAAGATCCTGTAAAAACTGTACATTTATGTAAATTGAATTAATTTACAATCTTTTTGTCATTTTTAAACTTTTTGGAAATTGATCCTTTTCAAAATGTAGTTGCTATACAAGTACCAAGTTTGAAGTTGGTACCTCTAGTGGTTCCAAAGTAATGGGAAGTTATATAAAACATACATTTACACTGATAGACGGAAAACGAAGCGAGATAGGGCATATGTTTACGTGGCATTTTTTGTTTGTTTTGACATAAGGAACATGGAGGGAATATCGAAATTCTGGGGGGATATACATTTGAAAATGCTACTTTGTAAACCCTTCCGGGGGTTTGAGCACAACACCTACAATGGTGCAAAACTTCAGATATTTAGCTAATCTAGAGGTGGGTGGACATTTATATCGCCAATGTGTCAGTTACATATGCGGATGTATAAAATATATATCCGTTTCCACGATAACTCAAGCAAAAATCCTCAGAATTTGATTAAATGTGGTACAAACGTGTAAACCAACATTTAATCCAAAGAGTTGGCGAACCAGCATGATCTGACCATTGGAACGGAGTTTTGTGGGAGGGGGGATATGAGTTTAAAAAGGTTTCTCATTTTTGACCCATAAAACGCAAAATTTTAGAATTTTTCTCTAAACCTTTTCAAAGAACTTAAAAAAATAACTTAGCTTAAGTGTTACTGTACAGAAACTGGTTAGGGAGAAAATTAAAATCTGCTTTATTTATAATTTACTAAAACCCCACTTTACTACCCTTTCTGAAGCATCAAACCTAGGTACTCGTTAACCCTGTTATTTAAATAGAGTAAAATGAAAATATAATCAGGCAAATGTGAATTTACTTAGTCTGCAAGTTTGCTGCGGTGGTTTTTTTTTTACCGTGGTCGATAGATTAATCTAGGCGTCTAAAGAGTCCTTAATGTTATACTGGATATACCGGGTGCTAAAAAACCCCGATCTATTTTCTGCAGCGCACTGTTCAGCGACAGGACGTCTGGGGGTGGTGGGGGTAGGCTCATTGGAAAGCCTCATTTGGAGAACACTTATCCGTAGTCAAAGGTGGTCATGTCATCAAGTCGTTTTTAAGAAGTAATGATCCAATCTTTGCAACTAATGTGGGAGTCCTGTGCAGTCTTTCATATGGATTTTTTATCTGTATGGATAAAAAAGTTAAACAGATTAATTCAAATTTTTCTGTAGAGATGAACTATTAAGATCAATATTCTGAGAGGTCAGACATGTTCAAATCAGCCACTTGCTTGTGCACGGGCCTACGAGGACTCTATCGAATGTTAGTTGTCTGGCGTCCGATCTGAATTTGGACGGCCAGTTAGCTTCTTTTTCAACGCTGAAGCCGTTGTTCTAAAGTTTGTTACCCACCACATGATTGTGCTAAGCGACAGAACCTCTCCATGTCGAGCTAATTGGAAGAAGGCACGGAACTGCCACTGAGTCTTAATGACTGAATCCTTTGAAATACGACTCAATAACAAACGTCCGTTGCTCAGGTGACCAGATGACTACAATGGCAGTGTGTAGGCTTTCCAACGAGCCTACCAGCACTACCCAGACGACCTGTCGCTAAACAGTGCGCTGCAGAAAATTGATCGGTTTTATCCTTACCCTGGATTTCTTGTCGCTTGAACCTTATATCAGTTATTTTTAGACACCCCTGGTGTAGACAAATAATTCTGCATTGAGACACATCTCTCTTGTACGTGAACTTACACTTCAATTAATTTCACTTTGCAAAACTCTGTAAAATCTGGCTAAAATATTTACCACACTATCCTAAATACCGTTCTCGTACTGTATTGGTTAATAAATTAAACTATCGATGTTCCTTTTCACCTTAAGTGCAACAGATGTGATATGAAACTTTCCAAAGATATATAACATTTTTATTCTGTTTTTCCAGTTATGTCGTTTCTTAACAATGTGAATAAAAAAGACCTAGACAAGGTTTCACTTACAAATTTGGGACCAAATGCGGCGTTGACTTGCTTCACGAAGACAATGACTAGCAACGGGAAATCTGCCGTACTATACTACGCAAAGCTGACTTATGTTAAAGATCTAAAAAAGAATCCAGTTTTGGTCGACTGGTATCTTGTTGATGACTGCGAAATCAAACAGGAAGGACAAGAAAGTATCATAGGAGTAACCTTAGCTTCAGCCTCGGACGTCAACGTGAAATACCGCACAAAGGATTTAAGCGTGCAAACCCAACTCTACAGGCTTAATACTAAAGAGTCGAGCTATGTTCGTATAGTCTATGCAAGTTGAAGGAAGTAGATGTAAAATATTTCGTTCAGTAAACCTTTGTCGAATGAAATTTGTTTGTCACTTGTTTATTTCCGAAAGAGTCCAGGGTTGAGTGCTAATTAACTGCCTAACAACTTTGACGAGGGTCATTTTAAAGCCTGAGGCTTGGTGGTGCAAGTGCCATGCCTTTATTTTTAACGTATTTTTGGCGTGTAGAATTAGGTTCTGTATAGCCCATCTCAATTTTTCTGACACCCTGTATAAATACATTATGAAGAACTTAAACTTGGACATAAAACCCTTTGGCCACAAAATCTACTAAGTTGCGGATGGTATGCCTACATTGAGTAACCAGTCCAGACTGTGAGAAATGGCTTCATCGTTTTAAGTAAAATTCTTTATAAAAGTTGTAATGTACCAATTTGTTCAAGCCAATGACGTTCAAGGATAATTACTTTGGATACAATTAAAAAATGTCTAAGCTGCAAAACAAGTTTTGTGAACGTTTGAAAGGTTTGTGACTTCACAAAAGGTCAAATTTTATATCAATCTTTCATCAGCAGCTAAAGCTTTCACTGATATTTGGTTGACTTTAATTTAAGGACTTATTTCTTTTCCAAAAATTAGACGATTATTTTTGCTGTAATATTGTAAACATTATTATATTAACAAAGTTAAAATGTAAAAAAAATTGAAACAATTGTTTTTAAAATAGGTGAAACTTGTCAAAATCGACGGTTAGTGTCAAAGCATATGTTAACTCATCAACGGAAAGTTAGGCGTAGTAGAGTATATTTCAAGTGAAGATGGCTTTTATTCTTGGTCTGTTAAAGACCTCCTCGTATATATGGTTGTGCGCCTTCATTGGCAACAAATAATACAATTGACATAGCAATGCGGCCAATGCAGTATTTAAAAAAAGAAAAAAATACTGTCAATTGGCTGTAACGTAAATATTGACTTTACATGCATTGTTAAACAACGTATCAACTTAAAGGATGATGTGATCTATTTGAAAAGGAATATGACCTTGCCGTCATGACAGTAGCTGCTTAAAAAAAATTTACCCTTCGTGCCTTTTTAACAGTCAAAATGTCGTGTTATCTTCGATTACTTTAACAACCCAGCAGTAGGCCACGGTCCTAAAAAAAGTTCCAGTGCATATAATTTGTCAAGATAGGTACAATTTTAGGCAAGATTTCTGTGTTTGGGTGTTATTAGACACGATAAGAGCAATAGACTTCTTCTGCAGATAAATAATCTGTTGGAGAAATATAAGCCAAATTGTAAATGTCACAATGCGAGTTCGAGGTTTTTGTAATTATATGGGTAAGTTACATAGTATTTTTTAGGCTGCTGCTCAGTGCACTTTAAGAAAATATTTTTAGAGATAAATTAGATAGTTTTTGTTGCTGAGTAGTGCTAGTAAACATGCACAACCCATTTCGTTTATCTAATAAGATTCAAAGACATATTACATTTGTTACCTCTAAAAGGAAAATGGCGGCTAAATTTCAAAGAACTAAATTTATATTTTTAACTGCCACAAAAAATAAAGGAATGTCTCCCATCAAAATATTTGTCTAATTCTTACCGTTTCCGATATCCCAATGGTGGCCCCCTTGAGTTGATCACCCTGTATGTACTTACGTCCGGAATCCCAACTCTATAGATTCAATGAGAAAGCGAAAGGCTATGTTCGTTTGCCTCATCTCCATTGACGATGGATGTACAACGTCTCAGTCAGTAAACCTTTTGTTGAATGAAATAGTGATTTTTATCACTCTGTAGTTCATTCCTGAAAATACCTTATTATGGTCAAAATCTATAAAGGGACAGATTAGCCAATAGGTCTTTTTGGCCTGGGCTGTCGGGCGTGAATCCAATTCCACTTTCTCCTCGGATGAAACAAATTGAAATAGTCAAATGTACAAGTTTTATCCGAAACTTAAATTGAATGACGCGAGAGCAGTTTTGTTACGGACTGTACTAACGACATCCAGTGCTAAATCACAAATGTCCCAATTTTAAAATAAGTCGAAATCTTTT